AGCCTTAACATTTAGGTAATTCCTCAGCGATGTTTATTCATGAAACCGCTAAAAAGTATTGTGATTCGAAATCCACTCAGCACTAGCATGCAGTAGCTAGCTTACAAATAATCATATCAATAATAAAGTCATTTTGTTGTAAAATATAAAGTGAATAATCAATACTTTGAGTTTTGCCCACAAATGCCCTGGCACGGTGAGAGTGAGGAAAGTCCGCTCTCCTTCTCAAAATGCTCTCACATGGTCACGCGTATGTAGCCTCTGCCAGGGAAGTCCTACTCACTGCCTTCTCGTGGCGGGGGTGTTGTTTACGAATTGAGAGGACGAAAAGCGAATGTCCTGAGCTTTAACCGGATCCCAAACCAATGGTGCACATTGGCTCCAGTACCCTGAGGGAACGAATGGTGTATGGATCAATCGTTGGTCACCGGCCACCATGGAACTGCATCTCCTTACGATGCTCCACTGCCTTGTGGATCAGACCTTTAGGTCGAAGGCTCCGGGTGTGGCCCTCTAAGAAAACCACCTGCTTCGGTCTGGGCACCCTGGCAGTATCACAGCCCTCACACATATCAAGTGAGATTTATGTGGTGCATATGTATTTGGTGCCTCCTTGTACTAATATCTATGTGTTAAAATAAAATAAAATAACTTTGAGTTTTATATTTTATCCTGAATTGTGCAGAAAATGTATGTTTCTTTTAGATGCATCTCTATTTGTATGATTAGCAACAAATATTGGTATTTTAATGGTTGAAAACCTCCTATATGTATTACTAAAAATTCTACCTCTAACCGGACATTCAAGAAATTACACAAGATTATCCAATCGTAATAATAATAACAACCATAGAAAGAAATCCCCTACCTGAAGTTGTTCTTACTATCCTAAACATTACTATTACTTTACTTCTTTCTATGTATCCTGTTAATCTCTCATCATATTATGTTAATATGACGTGGAAACTTTGGGTTAAAACATACTTTTAAGAGATGTCACTTCGTTTATGTCTACTTGAATATGGAGTTAGTTCAAAATATTGTATCGCTCAAGCATAATTGTTGCCAGCAGCGTATACATACGGCTAAGGACACAGAAACAGATGGATGGACAAAAAATAAGTTGCTAATGTGAGAAAACTAGGCAGAATCACAAACGCAAAAGTGTGTACATTTAATGAGACGTATTTCCCTAAAATATAGACATAAAATTCACAAAATATAGGGAACCCTTAAAAATGACAACAAGGGAAAATAAAGAAATGAAAAGAGATATGACACTTCAGTTCTATAAAAAGCATCCCTTTAATTATGACTAGATTTTATTCAAACTACCTGATCTATACAACCGATGAGTTTTATCAACTTATTATTCACTAAATACGATCAGTTTTACCAGTGCAACTGAAACACACTCAATAACTTTATGGATTATTGTCGCGTTTTGATGAATGTGAGTTGGTAACTAAATAAGTATATATATATATATCATCTGAAGAGATATTTTGAGGAAATAAGCAGTACTAAACTGTTGTATAAAACAGTTTCAATCGAACTTTTATTTAAAAATTACTATTCTGAAATTTCAATTTGTGAAATACTTGTAGATTCAGTTTTATTACATCTACTTCAAATGCTTGGAAGGTAGCTTATGCAATGAAATACTTGTACATCACATTTATATTACATAAATTTAAATCAGCTACATAGAAGGGTCCTAGGGGTCCACTGTTGAAGAGTTCCATACATAGATGAAAAGACCGTTTAAAAAAACATCTGGTTTCCAGTGTTCTTCTAGCGAAATACAGTTCGTAATGTAAGTTACATTAAAATTTACAAATATTTAGTAATTCGCACAATATTCGCTTATTTATCAAAAAAGTAATCCCATAACTTAGATTGAACTTCTTTAAATACTTGAATGTTTCATCTTCATGAAATGATAAGAAAACATGGAAATACAATTTATTAGAATACTATTCTAATACTCAGTTTTCGGGTGAAATCATACTAAACTGATGAAGCAATCATATTTGATATTTTAGACGTTGAATTTTCACCCGGTGGCGGGAAGCTAGCGTCTTATCAAAAGTTAAATGCAACCTATCAGTATTCTAGTTACTAAGAGGCTGGAAATCGGTAACATAATAAGACCAAATTATATGGATTATAAATCATAATTTCTTGAAGGCAACTTGGACGTTTTTGATACTTAAAATAAAAGAACAGCATTTACAAGTATTTATCCATATGACGATAGACAATTCTTTGTTCCATTTCCAACCATAATCCCTTGCCCTAACCCTTAGATCCTGATCTCAATCCTAATGTCTAACAATAGCCTATAAACCGTAGTGCTAACCCTAACTCTTAAGCTAAATTATTTATCTATATCACTCGTGTTTTGGTTGGGTTTTTTTCTCAAGGTCGACTCAAAACTCGCTAAAAGTTGTCAACTAAGTATAATTTCAATAGTTATCATTTAAAGTTGACTCTAAGTAATGAGCATTATTAAACGATGAGATGTAGTGATATCTACATAAGTAATTTCATAATTAAAGTTCCAAAAATCTTCAATATCAATACGAAATATCAATTTCTTCTATATACGGATAATGTATACAGTTTATTGCTTCACAGAATTTATAACCCTTTTACTATCCACTTATTGTCTGAGACGTATGACCTTACATTAGAATGTCCATGGGTTTGCAGATCTGAGGTTTCTCAAATTTGGATAAATCACCCATCAAAAATCTAACTTTTTTCAATGCTTCATTAGACGGTGTAAGCTTATGACAAATGTATTCAAGACAATGAAGTTGCCTAAAAAAAGTAATTACATAATAACCTAATCTGCACTACTAGTTGCAGACTTTAAGAAAGATTTCTCGGTAGATATAATATGAAACTGTTAGCAAATGGCATCATCGAACAATCTACAAATAAACTGTTATCCTCTGGTCATATTGGCTGCCAATTGTATTGTATCAGTTATAGACTAAAGTCAAAAATGAAGATAATTGAATTCACGTTCAGTGATCGGTAGGTATAATACTCAGAGTTACATCAAATGTTTCTGAATTTTATCTCTTGTGAAATTGTGGGTACGCATAGATATTCAGTCTCAAACCAAGAAGAAACTGTTATTCACTTCTTTTTTATTTGACAGAATGTGACGAAATCAATCTTTTTATTACAATTTATTCAGTGAAGCAAACCATTCTGGCGACTTCGTTCCATTACACTGTAAAATATTTGGTAAGTTTCTATTCTCAAACAGATACAATAATAATATTTCGCTTGATCGTTCAATTATTTATTATACACAGTCAAACTGAAATTTCATGTATTTATTTTCCTTTACAAATTTAAATCATAAACAAGAATGACATTAATTATAGAACATGATGAAAACGGTGGTCTTGAGTGCTGTTAAGGTACGAGGGCGGTTATCACTTCCCGGTTGCCCACACCTTAGAAGGGTTCTTCTAGAGGTACTTGAAAAGGAAATTGGATAAAAGGTGGTCTTAGCGACCTGAGAGCGTGACCACAATGCCCAAAGGACAACTGCTTGAGGCCACTCACACTTGACCATTTTGTGAGTAATCTCCATGTTAGCTCCATACTTGTTGAGACATTACCGCCGGAGACGTAAATTCATGGGATAAGGCGAGGTATGCATTCTTAGGGTCGCCCATTTCTAATCCCGCCCCTCCTTATGGGAAGGCAGCATCTGAATGAAGCACCTAACTGCCGTCAAACATTTGTACAGTCAGCAGTACGACTTCGCCCTCGAACCTTGGGTTTGCTGCTTCTAGTCCTACAGCTCTTCGATCGACCTATCTGGCATGGTAGGACCTTGAGGAACGATTGATGCAGCTAGTATAGCTCGATTGGTCCATCACAATAGGCAAGCCCAACCACCATGTCAAGGTAGTCGCAACAGTCGAGATAGAATATAGTACATTCATTGTATTACATTGCTTTCTCTTTAGTATTCTTTACACCGTATATAACTGTATTTTTGTTAGCTAACCATCAACGCCAATAATTTATAATGGAGAAAACAAATCATCGAGATAATCAATCTTATTAGTATACTAGATTTACAAATTTTGACTTGTTTATACATTTCCATACAGCTGTTTCAAGCAATTATAAATTTTGAAAAAACCTGTTAAAAAAAAAACCCAATTCCTAACTACCGCATTCACTCTCTATGGACCTATCCAATTAGTGCAAATTACAAATTATATTTATAAATCATTGTATTCTTCAATTAATCTTGTTCTGTTTTTTCCATTTAAGCCTATGGTTATTCCAATATCGGGAAGGATACATAACAAATGACAACTGATTCACAAAGTACTTTTTTAATATAACATCATAAGAATTAAAATATAACACAATGCTACACTTTTCTATCGAAATAAAGATAATAGGCAATTTTGATAAAGCTATATTATACCGGCGTCCTTGAGAGACCAATTAAAATTAAGCTAACCGATGCCAGAATTTATAACGCTATTAAGGAAAGCTTGTTGGTAAAACTTATGATTTTCTTTATATTTCGTATTTCGAAAGGAATGTATGATGGATTCCTCAATGAAATGTTAAGGTTAGGAGTGTTAAAGTTAAAAGATTTCAAGTTAGAATTCAGGTTTAAGGTTAGGAGTATTAATATGAAGAGCTAATGTTGAGGAGTATTAGGCTTAAGAGCTTTGCGTTTAGGAACTAGGATATAACAAATTTAGGGTTAGGAGTCGGGTTTTAAAAGATGTAAAACTAATAAACAAGGTCTTTTCGGATTACGGAACTATGATACCAAGCACGAATTATCAATATTTAGTTAAAACTCCTAATCCTCGTATTTCATTTGTCTATATTTTTAGAGCTCTTACACGAAAGTCACATTTTGTTTTGCTAATCTGAAGGCCATTCATAAATTCGGCGGTCGAATTTTCTTTTTCAAAAAAAAAAAAGAAAATCAAACTCACGGGAGACAATCTTCTGCTTCATAATTTGGCTTAATAGGATTTGGACGCTTTTGAACACGATTAACTTCCATATGAAGACCTTCCAATACATATCGTAAGAATTCTTGTGAATCCTGTTGACTAGAAAAAAAAATTAGTTTATAAGGTATCTTCACTAACGACAAAATATATCGGTAATATTACCAAATCCCACCAGTGAAGTATTCATAAGATCAGAATATTAAATGTAAATATGTATACAAGATAGGAAATTTGAAACTTTAATACCTCAAGCATAATTTTAACATTATTATTATTATTATCACTATCGTCATTGATATTATTCCTAATGGCTTTGCTCAATATTACTTGTATGGTACAATATCGAATTCTAATCACAAAGTATCTCAACAGGTTTCTGTTACAAAGCAAACCAAAGAAACAATAACTTCATACATGTATATATTTAAATGAAGAAAATAGCAGGAATTAAACGAAATGTTCTTTAATAAGATTAGAATTTGTACAACTTTTAGTTAGAAACATGTTTAACCATACAAGTTATTGACTTGGTCAGCTCTTACAATCTATTCATCACATAGTATATTTACTAGATAAGGTTAATCAGATAAAAGCAATGTAGAACCTGCCACATATGTGCATCTGTCCAAATTGCCAAAATATATCAATGCAACCAGATAAAATTATCAAGATAACTACCAAAATAGTGGTAACATGACGATTTAGATTGTTTGTTTATTAGACCATTAACTTTTCGAATCCATTTCTTATCTATATCAGCCGGATACCATGATCACCCTTCATATATGGCTGAAGTGTTCAGTAAATGAGTTGCATTGCAGCAAATCAACGCATCATTGAAACTATTCAATCAAAACATTCATATTATTCTCAACTATATTTCTTAAACGTTTAGCTCACTACTGTAATTAATCTCATTACAATCATTATTTCTGTTCTTCTGTTTTTCATTTAATTTCCTTTCGTTATGATGCTTATGTGAAATGTGACAACGTGGATCGATACACATTTGTGCCATATTCTAGGTTGATTACGATTGATTGATTGAATGAATGAATGAATAAAAAACTATCTAGATTTTTGCCATTCACGGTCAATACTGATTTGACAGTAAATAAATTATCTATAATCTGTAAAATCATAATTAGATTTTACTTAAATCTTACAAACAATATCGATATTGTGCTGTCCAGAATGACAATGTTAACGCTTCATAATCAAACTATGTAATTCAGGGTACTCAACATCACCAAACGGTATCGATTATAGCACTTGTTACTTGGGGCAAAGAATTAATCAGTAGTATAGTATATACTTTGTGAAAGAATTCTTACTACTTACATTGTAAAGCTATTTTCTTCAACTATTAATCATTTTGCTAGTATTCAAATACATAGATTAAACTGCTATACGGATAAAGCTTTTATTGTTTTTTTTCTGTAAAAAAGAACCATACATTTGAAACTAAATGATCTGCCACAATTTGATTAGGCAACCAATTAACTACAGAAAGGATCGGATAGCCGTCTTGTCCTAGTACATCCATGGCTATAATAGGCATCCAGGACCTTCAGACCACTGAAGTTAATATACAATGTTTACATCTCTGGCTTCAGTCAGTTCGCGTTGCTTCGTGACCATCATCCATTGCTGTTATTAGTGTGCTTCACTCTCAATGTGGTTGGATTCCACTGGTCACCGCTTCTCCAGTTCTTTTCTGTTAACAAAGGTTGGCTAACCAAAGTCAGTCTGTGGTGTGAAACAAATACTTATTTATCAACGGGTGGCTAACAGCTTTCGAAAGTTAGTATACACACAGGTTACAAACTATGCTAGCTTTCCACTAACTATCTGCAAAAATACATATGGAAACTAAAAATATTATTAAAACAACAATTTGGAAGATATGTCGATGTGATCTGTGTTGGGATGCTAGGTCCCCAAATACCACTTGATAAGCGTCTTATTTTTTAAATTTTATTTCGGAATTTTTGAATTCCTCTTTTTGCACCTATTTTTACATTCAAGTTGCATTTTCCACTTATAAGAACCCTATATATCATTGCTTCGTTGCCTCTTTTAATATGCTGTTTTGTGAGGTTTCTCAAGGACATTTTTATGATGGATATATACACTTGAATTGTGTGTATGTGGTTGTTCGTGCTTCTGACTGCTTGTGGAACATACTATTCATTCATCTGGACCTGGTCTTCTCGCTCTAGTTAGCGGAACTGGGATATATAGGAATATTTTAGCTTGTCTTGTCGTTGTGTCACTGACCCTTCGTTCCGTCCGCTAATTTAGGTGATCTCCTAATCTCTTCAAACATATCAATCTGTCATCAGGAAAGTTATTTACTCAGTAACAGGATAAGAGATGTTTACGAATGTGTATCAATTCAAGTTGTCAAGCTTACTTTAGTACGGTTGACAAAGAGGAAACAGAAAATAATAATATTGATTACAGAGGGGAAAATAAACATAAGAAATGTAGTTTGAAATGAACAGATGAAATTGAGGAACTGAATTTGCAGAGAAAAATAAAGAATAAATAAAAATTCACCCTTCCAATCGATGACAGAGTTATTTCACTGACTATGCCTTATACTTAGATTATGATATTCTGTCGACTTGTCAAATAAGAAGTTTATACATGCTTTTGACTTACTCATCTACTACACTTTTTGTAGACCAGGTTTGATAGATATAAATAGAAATACTTTAAAATTACTATCAAAAATATCCTTTCATTTCACACTAATTAAACTTTCATGTAAATACGAAATTATAAATAGATGATGAAATATATACTTACGAATATCCCATAAAACGAGGAGCGAATCGTTGAATTTGACTTTTAAATCGACTTGGACTAGTGGAAGAATTAGCCAAATCAGGATCCCAAATTTCTTTCATTAAATCAGCATATGCTATTTGATAATGATGAGGAAAACGGAGAAATAAAATATCAGTCACTAAAAAATAGTGTTTTTTTACTGACATACCCAGTGTATTGTTAATAATCAATTTCAATGGTGGAGATCATGAGTCAATTGAAGCTAGACCACCATGGAAAACCTGAAAGCACTGGTTAAGCGCTAGCGCACGAGACTGATAGGTCATGGGTTCGAATCCCACGAGGCGGGATCAGGGATGTGTACTGCTGAGGAGTCCCACAATAGAATGAAACGACCGTCCAGTGACCCCAGGTTTTCCATGGTGATCTAGCTTCAATCGACTAATGATCTCAAACAATGGAATGAATTACTATAATATCCACAAAAACCCTTCTGGTATTATTAATCAATTTATCAAATATTTTATTATGGTGGAAATTCCCATTCAAACGCTTAGTGAGAAAAAATGAAATATTTCTTCGCTTTATTCATATTTCTAATAAATTCCTTATTTCTTAAAAAAAATAATAAACTACTAGTGATTATGAGGTCAGTAGACCAAATCTAAAATACCGAATAGAGATTATTAGACTTGATTATTGCTTTAATGAGACACTCATGATAAATAAGTAGTAAGTAGAGTATGTTTACCGTTTTGCAGAAATATAAGAGATACAAATATTATTACAAAAAGTTACATATTTATATTTAATCTAATTCAGTAATTTGTTCATTATTTTCTATCACTAGTTACTGACTATAAGTCGTTAGAGTTTTCATACCAAAAAAAAAAGACAAAATAACAATTTAGAATCAACCTACAATGAAATAACATCCCATTCATGGAACTTGATTTATTGATGTCTTTTAGAAATCGATCTTCCAAGCAATACTCGGTCAGTGGAGCTGTATTACTTAAACATTGAAGAATTGAATTCATAAAACACTAAGATGAGAAAAAGGAGAATGGAATTAGAGTATTTTTATGAAGAAAAGAGTCAAGTAATTACGTAGATAACATAATATATGGTAAATAGCAAATCAACACAAAAAATTGTTCCGCTCATCCTTATATGTATCATATTTCATAATGAAGCAAGTTATATTCAATGGAAATAGTGGACGACATTTATTGATTAGAAAATTAGGTCAAAGGATGATTGAGCAACTAATGTATACCATAAACTCATATATATGATAGTTAACAAGCAATAACGATTGTATATTTGAAATGAAAAGAAAGTTAGCTAGAAACAAAGTCAAGTAACCAATAACTGACAATAAAAGGTTTTCAGTATCGAAGATCTAATTCTGATACAGAAATGTATAACGTCATATCTTAATCAATCGTTCACTTATTATTTTCCACTAGATATTGAATTCAAGGATATTTTTCTTACATACTGTTTTGTTCCGTCAGTCAGACTATAATTTATGGACGACCTTTGAGCGACGCTAAACTAACCTTGAGAGTGTCCACCTACTTACTACGGCTAAATGAGGACTATAAAGCAGTTTGAAGAATAATGATTATGATTCACAGTTGATGATTAGGGTTAGAAACTAGATTTAGAGTTTTCATCACGAATTGACATCAGCTATAATGCAAAGACTCTATTTAGCCAAATGAGTGAATGAATTTCGCGCCAAAATCTAAGACTTGTTATCGTAAATGTGATTGGTTCGTCCATAAATTATAATCTCGCCGATGTTGCTATTCATCTTGTTTATTTCATTGCATCTTGCTGATAAGGTATGTAACGAGCTGACGCGCAATCTTACTGGAATCTCTTACCATATATATAATTTGTTTTCAGACCTAGTTCACGTGAGTAATCTACAAGTTTTGCCTACTGTAATCACTTAAGTAATATATCATATCCACTGAGCTATCAAACACACGTGGATTAGAAAACAAAAAAAATGTAACATTTTATAGGTAAACAAGTTAATTAACCATTAGAGTATATAATAAAAGTTATTTATAACTAACTCAAAAGAAGAATAGATTTACGAATAACAATTTTATCAACGAACAAACCCGTCGAATTATTTTTATTCATAGTAACAGATCAACCAACTAAACACAATCTACTTGTCAATCAAAAAAATTTTTTACAATAAAAAATGTTATTAATATTCGAAATATTTTCTTAACACTAAATGCTTGCCAAATTATTAATCGATTCCATGTTATTTTTAATTAACTCAATTTGAGTAGCAATTAACAGTATGTATGTGTGTATATATATAACGATTTAGTTTAGTTTATATCAGTCAGTCAGTCAGTCAGATACAACGTAAGATTAGGCACATATATCCATCGGTTCAAGTTGCCATACATCATTAGCATAGCAAGATGAACACCAAATTCATAAAATCAGTTAATTCAATGGTAGTAATATGTAACAGAAAGATTGAATATAAAGATATAGTACAGGAAGAGAGAATTAGAACGTAGAAAGAAAGATATGAAGCGATTTTAATCTCTTAGTTTAAAGGAAGACAGAGAGTGTATACACCGACGCCATTGTGATCGATTCTGAGACATGTCACACACTGTCTCTAACTATTGGTTACCATATTCACACGGACCCCAACCAAGTAGTCTTCATCTACCAACATGACTCAGACTAGAAGTTAGTGACTTTAAGCACTGATGCCACGTTTTGGTTTGGTCGTCCTTAACTTTCTCCCATCCATATCCAACACTGATCACCATTATGCATCATGGTGATCGGTGTTCAGGCATACTCAGCACATGACCCAGCCATCTCGGTCTATGAAGATTCACAAACTCATCAACTGATTTGCCATCATTCCCAGCAGATGTGAGCTATATGGTATCAATTTGTATTGGTCAGTATGATCATAGTTCACATATAATATCACAGTTAAAAAGGATATTTAAATAATATCACAATTCTTTTTTAGCAAAAAACCAAAAGTTGAAAATACTTTGAAAAGAACGAATGATATCAAAGAATGAAATGTAATAAGTGAATTTAAGCTTAAAATTTTGAAGAAAATAGAGAATGAATCCAACTGTGTAAATGAGATGAATTTGTGACATATCATTATAAATCTACAATCATACACATATTACGATCATTGTGTAGATTTTAACCAAAACGTTTTTATTTCAACTTATAAATACATCAAATATCTATGACTTTATAGTTAAATTTAATAGAAACAAATAAATCAATTAACTTTAACTCTGTCGGAAAGTGAAAGAATTCCTAACTTTGTAGAAATGCCACTACTGTCGGCATCTCAACAACATTTTACAAACCGCACCAATAAAAACAGTGTGTTGAACCAACGATCCATGTATAAACGTATCAATATTATGTATTACCTAACTCATTAAGACAAACCAGAACTTTTTATATGCTGAGATTATTCTATTTCATTAATTTTCTACATTTACTTAGTGCGTTATTAGTATAACCTCTGGAAAGTGATGTATAAGTCATTAGAGAAACTAACTTTGAGTTTAGTTAAAACCATACATCCTATACCTTTTTATATACATATACATTATCCCGTTTCTTGTTCCCTGAGTAAATAAAGAGGTTTTAAGTGTGACTATGAACTTACAACCATTATGACGACTTATCTGAACGTCAAGTTGTAAGGATTGAAATAACTTTTTTTGACATAACATTGTCTTCTACCTAAATTTTACTCCATACAATGAAGAGTTAGGGGCGGCCAAACCAAAACGTGGCATCGGTGCTTGAAGTCACTAACTTCTAGTCTGAGCCATGTTGGTAGATGCAGACTACTTGGTTGGGGTCCGCGTGACTTTCGTAACCTATGGTTGGAGATTTTGGTGACATGGCTCAGAATCGATCACAATGGCGTCGGTGTATACACTCTCTGTCTTCCTTTAAACTATGAGATTAAAATCGCTTCATATCTTTCTTTCTACGAACTAATTCTTTCTTCATGTACTATATTCTGATTGCAGTCTTTCTTTTATATATTACCACTTCTGAATCAACTACTTTTATGAATCCGGTGTCCATCTTGTTGTGTTAATGGAGTATGGCAACTTGGACCGATGAATGTATGTACCTGGTCCTACGTTGTAACTGACTGACTGACTGATACAATGAAGAGGGAAAAGATAGAAAAATTTTATTATAAGTGTTAATCTTGTTTCAACTTTTTATCATTATTTTATATACTTTCCCATACCATACCATTATCACGTTGTTTGATAGGATCTTTGCAACTATATTTTCATCTTTTTACAAAGATCTTTGATAATTAAATTTTACAGATTTTAAAAGATATAAAACCATTAGTTAATATGACCATTTAAAAATAATTAGTATTTTTTACTTCAGTTTATTATAAACTTCTTTATTAAACGAATAATAACTTATTTTTTGATTGAGATCATGAACCGATTGATGTTAGACCATCTTTAGAAACCTGAAAGCACTGGACGACCGTTTCACCCTATTTTGGGACTCCTTAGCAGTGCGCACCCACGATTCCGCTCGCGAGATTCAAACCCAGGGCCTTCAGTCTTGCGCGCGAACGCTTAACTGAACAATCTCCACAACCCTTAAACTGATAATAACTTATTTGCTTGCTTATCTGATCACTCAATGTGTCGTAAGTGAGTTTAAGTGTTATTTGATTGATACAAACTAAAAACGTTTACATATTAATGCTAAATGCTAAAATCTAGCTCAGTGTTACTTTGAAAAATCAGTTTGCAGTAAATTATTTTATGAACGAATTTGTTACACATTTTTGGATTACAATAATTTTACATAAAATATGTAAATCTGCGTACTGTAACACTTTAGGGATTTTACTTCGTTGAATTAATGGTAAAGCTATACGACTATTGTTACTTCAGATTTTTTCAATTATAATGTGTGCTAAAAAGATGACAACATTTGACTTACAGTGTTTCCAAGATTATTAAGGCCCACAAGCCCACCTTTGTGATATGAGTGATGAGAGTTTACTGGAAGACTAATTGGTGCACGAGGAGGATTAGATACTGGAGAGTCCAAACAACGTACAGAATTCCTGCTGCTATAAGTGTTATTGATTTCCGAAAATTCCCGACGATCTATAGACTGGAGATTTTTGGTCGAGCAATAATCAGTGTGGTAACCGTTGCACAACTTTTTACTTGAATTAGTGCTTTCATTTAGATCAAGTTTTGAAAAACGACCATTCAAGTCACTTGATCTGTCATTTACATTGCCACCGAGACTTGATGTGCTGCTATTCCATAATGTGGAACCTGATTTCTAAAACAAATAAGTAATAAGTAAGTTAACTTAAAAATGCAACGTTTAGATACGACACAGACTTTCGTACATGGACACAACTTAGGCAGCTCAAAACGATAGTAGGACCGCTGCGAAATATCAAAGGGAATTCGAAACTAACTACCAGAGTTTCCAGCTTTTACTACAGAATTAATATGATCACAGGATGGGGTTTTGTTCCACAACGAAAGACATTATGTCACGCTGAAATAATGAAACGTGCCTTAAACACTGAAATCAACTAAGTTGAGAATCACTGACTATTGCAGAATAGTAACCGCATGTTTTAAAATACCAAACAAATAGTAAATAAACAAACTTCGGGACTGAAATGCCCGAAGAATACTGATATATATATATATATATATATATATATATATATATATATATATATATATATATATATATATATATATATATATATATATATATATATATATATATATATAATACTCATAGACGCTGACTGAGGGTGTTTACAAACAAAACTGTTGTGACTGGAAACTTCTGAGACATAACTGAAAAAGGAAAACCAATATCACATTTAAAACTAAAGTGGTACGAAATAAATTAGAAAAATATCAGTTCCATTAAGTTAACAGGACCGTATTTTATAGTGAATTATTGAGAATGATTCAGAATACTAGGTATGTTTTGCTGGTTTGCACTTTATAGCAAGGTTCTTTTTTAGAGGGCAGTGTTGCTAACCCTACTCCCTACCCTCCTTTATATGGGCTTGGGACTGGCTCTAGACGATGTTAAGTGAGAATCAACAAAGTTAAGGAGAACTGGTAATATTCATCTAAATTACACACACAATATAGCAGTTGTAATAGCTCCAGAAATGCGGTGAAAATTATTCATTGCAAACACAAAGTAATTTTATATGCGTTGGGAAAGGTATTCATCTACTTTGGAAAAGCTTCATATGAAATGTAGAGTTAATGCTATCTATGCTTAACCAGAACCAACAATTTAAAATGTCTGAGAACAAGCACATAAAAATATAGATGCGTGTAAATTTAGTCAGCCATATATAACGCAGGATCTGGCACAAATCCCCATTGGCGTACGTTGCGACATTAATTTCAACTGAGAAACAACTAGACGATTGAAAAAACATCCACTGAAATGGGAATAGAGACTTGCAAAATATAGCTCAAAAAATAAATGAGGCTAAAAATAAAGCGTATTGAATGACATTAAACCATAGGTTTAGGGTATAAATAAGTTGGTGCAACTGAGAATAATTTTAAGGTATCTCACCCACCGTAGATTAAGATTATTGTTCTAGTCCTAATTAAGAAGACTACATATTTACAAATGGTTCAAACCAACGACTGACAACTTCATCAATTGATATCATGTCTAGGTTTGACAGTTTCTAAACATTTTCAGCCGGCTATAACTACCAGTATAGCACACTGATAAGTTCTTCGATGTACCCGATACACATTCAAACAACCTAACGAGGTCTCACCACAAGATTTCACTGAAAAAATGTGGTACTGTTGATAATCCAGCTATAGATGTCTCTTATACGATGAAAGCTAAGAACCTTAGGGAAGAAATTTTCAGTTGAAAAAAATTTGATAGATAAAAGAGGAGAGTAAGATGTTAACTTAGCACAAATACTTTCCTTCCCATAGCTAAAAACCAAATATTGCTTCGAATTTCAAGTCATTCATAACCTGAAATGATACATATGAAGCGAACAGCAAAATATCTCAAAATGAGTTTCAAATGGGCTTCAAAAAAGGCAGTGATTTTGTACTTGCTATGATTATCCTTGCTTTTGTGTAATTGTTACACCAAAAGCATTCTTGATCTATATCAAAGTACTTTAGTTAAGGTTTGAAATCTTGCTAAAGTTTGTCTTGTGGTACCCTTTTACTCGTTGACTGACACTTGTATTCATAATGTGATCATATTGTGTTTTACACCTTAATTTGACTAAAATGGTTGGTAGTACTCACGAATGTGGACAACCAAACTGTTTGTTCCTTGTGGAGGAAGGAATGCAGTGTGATGAATGAAAAAAAGTGGTTCCATAAGATGTGCACTCGTTTAAGTCCCATTGCATAAAAAAGATGTTCGAAGCCTAACTCACATTGGCTTTGCATGTTTTGATGTGCAAATAAGACGTTACTAATACAGGAGGCTATGAGTCTATTGGCTTTGGCCTGTAAAACGAACGATGGCGCATGCGCTGATAACACGAGCACTGACAGTGACGAATATGTCAGTGTAGTACGTGCTGTTACGAGACGCCTCAAACACTCGACAGTGACTGACGGAAAAGTGAAATCTCCGTTAATATTACCGAGGGGGCTACTACCACTTGACACTGGCATTGGTAACCATGCACCTCTAATGGAAACTGAAGATCTGGATAAAACCGTTACCGTTCCAAATAGTCCCAGTGTCCTGAGGGATGAAAAATGGACTACAGTACGGAGAAAACGAAAAGAAAAAAGCTGTAGGTAGTGCGCAGGTGGTTAGCAAGTCATTGGTGGACTCCCATTGTGAGTCACAAAATACACCACCAAAATCTGATAGTAAGAGAAATCCACCCTGGCATGACTGAGAAGAAGAATCTAATCTCATCGAATATTATTGTGAGCGAATTGCTGGAGTCAAACAACCCTGATCCCAAAATTAGACACGTGCATGATTTAGAGAAGCTGGGAGAATATATTCGTAGTATCTTACCAGATAACTCTAAAGGCGTTCAGGTAAAAAAACTGGTTAGAATAGGCAAGAGGACCAAGGACAATGTTGAACCCCGACCATGCAGACTCCTTAAGCTAGTTCTAGGATCGGAGAAGCAGCGGGATCTCCTGTTAAGTAGCGCTCGTTGTCACGATAATTTCGACATCCGAGTTAGACCTGATATGTCTCTCGGAGATAGAATAAAAAGAAAGAAAGCACTAGCTGAACTAGAAACCCGTCGGCAAAACGGTGAGGAAAATCTCCGGCTAGTGGGTTTTTGGATAGTCAGGTCTTGGAAGTGAATGCTACCAAGGCCTGTGTGGATAGGCTATTCTACCTAGGATATTTATATGCCAACGCTCGTAGTCTAAGAAATAAGTTATATGAACTATAAGCATTAGTTGACAGATTAAAGCCACTCATTGTAGCAGTGACAGAAACTTGGTTAGTCCATGACTTAGACATTACTCCAGAATTATCCGGATACCATTACCTCAGGAGTGATAGACATAGATGTAGAAAAAGAAGGTGGTGTCCTGCTATATATAGCCAATAATATAAATATCCGCTCCTCTGCTAGCGAATCCCATGATAGCGGTACTTGTGAAATCATTAGCTGTAAATTGGCTATCGGATGTAGTACACTTATGCTCGGTCCCATCTATCACAGCCCGATCTGTTTAGCCGATGACTTTATTTTAGAGCACACTCATCTTTAGAGGTCAAATACCAGATGCTTGATACTAGGAGACTTTATTGCACCTGATATCATTTGGACTGAGATGAACACGGAAGGATCTATAAACTCATTTGATAGTAGGCTCATGGTAACAATAATGGAGCATGCACTAGTGCAGTATGTATCCGAACCCACACATTTTGGTATTAATCAAGTCTCTTTTCTGTTGGACTTGGTAATCACTCATGATACTGAGGATATTGTCGACTTAAACATTCTCCCACCGTTAGTGAACAGCGATCACGCTGTTTTGTCATTCATGTTTAGAACTAGGGACATGTTATACGATCAGGTTACACCCCGCCTAAATGTATGGAAAGCTAACATATCAGCCATTCAGGAATGCGCTGCTAATACAGATCGGTTTGTAGATACTAGCTTATCAGTTGAAGAAGCATGGTTTGTTTTAAAGTTAAGTTTAGTTTAGTTACGTCTCCGTTCATACCATATCTGGTACCGCGAAGACCGAATAACAATCCACCATGGATAACTAAAACAGTCAGGAAACTTCTTAGAAAAACGAAAAAGCACTGAAATATGTTCATCTCTACTGGCTTAGAACAATACAGATCCAGTTATTGTAAGATTAAGAATGCCTGCAAAACGTTAATAAGTAAGACTAGACGATCATACGAAAAACAATTCGTTAGGGATTCTAGATATAGTCCGAAACGGTTATTCTCGTATTTAAAAAGGCGAACTCAGAGAAGCGATGGAATTCCATCACTTTTGACACAAGAAAACCCGTCAATCTTGGCAAAAGGTGATACCGAAAAAGCTGAAGCTTTATCGGAGTATTTCAGTAGTGTTTTCTATCGGTAATAAAGAACGACCAACGATTCATTGTGATCGCGGCGGCTCGCTGATGGACCCTATAGTCATTCAGGAAGATGCTGTTTTAAGGCTACTCAAACCCGATAAGTTCAGTGGTCCTGATGATATTCATCCTAGGATTATGAAAGCCCTATCAGATGTAATTGCTGAACCGTTAGCAATACTATTTGACATGTCTCTGAGGCATTCCAGACTGCCCAGAGACTGGGAAGACGCTATAATAAGTCCGGTGTATAAGGCTGGGAGTTAGTAACTATAGACCTGTTAGCTTAACTAGTGCAGTTGTAAAACTGACGGAAAAAATCATTCGGATATGTTATAAATTATGTTGAAGGGCATAACCTTTTCTCCAGGGAACAACATGGTTTTCGGAAAGGCCTATCATTCTTGACAAATCTTCTCATTGCAAGAGAAGATTGGGTTGCTGCAAAAGATCGGAATATTCCTGTGAATGTGATCTTCATAGATCTAAGTAAGGCCTTCGATAAGGTTTCCCACTCTGGTCTTAAATTCAAACTGAAACGTTTTGGAATCCATTATACAGTCATAGATTGGATAAGTAACTTTCTCCATGACAGGAGACAAAGGATAAGGGTAAATAAGGCTCTCTCCTCGTGGGTACCTGTAGAAAGTGGAGTTCCTCAAGGTACAATCCTTGGTCCTCTTTTCTTTTTACTTTATGTAAATGAATTACCAACTATAGGAAAATCATCTGTTCTACTCTTCGCCGATGCCATAAAAATTTGGAGACCCATACACAATATGTAGAATAGGACAGTATCACAGAATGATCTTAGCTCATTGGTGGTATGGTTGGACAGGTGGTCGCTAAAAGTAAATCCTAATAAGTGTGGTGATGCAATTAAAAAACTATGATGAATCGTATCACTATAAAATATATGAATTCGTGCTACCCAAAGTAAAAAACCATAAAGATTTAGGAGCAATGATCTCAAAACCACCAGTCACTGTAAGACTGCTGCTGCGAAAGACTATAGGGTATTATGGTCAATTCGTAGGTCTTTCCAGTATTTAGATGATGAAATGTTTAGATTATTATACCCGACTTATGTGCGACCACATTTATAATATGGGATTCAAGCAGAGAGTCCTTGTTTCAAGTATGAAGCAGAGATGCTGGAAAGAGTCCAGCGACGAGGTACTAAGATGGTACAAGGTCTATCTGGCCTATCTTATGAAGACAGACTGAGACACCTTAAATTATTTCCGTTATCTTACCGTAGAGTACGGGGTGATCAAATATTGGCTTATCGTATGCTGAACGATAACCTCGGTATCAACATATCTTTTAATTCCGTCTAGGGCTGATCATTTAAGAGGACATTTGAAGAAAGTTCAAAAACCGGGACCAAACCGTTTGCGTCTGGAGTTTTGTTTCTCTCACCGAGTAGTGAATTACTGGAATTCTCTACCGGAACACGTAATATCAGCACCTTCTGTTAATATATTAAGAACGATATTAGGCCTACAAAGTATTACAAACTGCAAAGATAAATATAGGTTGATAGACCTCCTAACCTTATTACTGAACACTGAAGACTGACTACCTCAATAGTATCACGCAGAATGAGATTTTCCTTATTAACAAGAAAGACTTCAAGTACTATAATCATGGAAATCTAATTCAAAGCCACAAAACCATGCGGTGTGCAGTCCGGTGCTTGATATTTACTTTGAGTAGAACCAAAGTTTTATTAATAGTTAATAAGTGAATTATAGGAACATTAAAAATCTAAAGGTGATTAAACTCACAGGTCCCAAGCTAATTGCTGATCTATAGTAAGGAGGAGGAGAATCAGTATGTTTGGGGAGGCGATTAACAGACATCATATACCTGGGTTGAGAACCATAATTCCTGATATTACTCCCCTGAACCTAAAAATATCTTAAAACACTAAAACTTCTTACCGATAGCTTGAAATCAGATTGTTTACTCATGTCATCCATTAGAGCATTTAAAATAAATGCATTAAGCAAGGTGTTTTCGAAGGAGTAAAAATATCATAACACTGCATTTATATGTGACAACAGACAAGAATGTAATCCAGCTAATATTAAATAATCCAAAAATCAAATGTCTACAAATTACAACGAAATCGTAAATACTGTATGGTTGTTTTGTGATATTAATGACAATTTTTCAAAGTAGCATAATTCTGTTCATAATATTTGTATCTCAGTAATTTAGGTGACGAAATCTGAGTGGTCATACAACTAAACATCCCGCCTTCGACAACCTTCAAATCACCATAGAAAAAATAAATTTTGAGATAGCGATGAACAAAATCTTGAAACTAAACGAAGGAGTACAAACCGGATGATTATTATCTCGGAGTTTGACATAATCTGTTATATGCAGTTTATATGTTTCAATTTCACCAATGATCATGTTAGAAGATTCAGATTCAGATTTATTTAGTAAGGACAGAGGGCCTACGGCCTATGTTATTCCTTTTCTAGTATGCTTCTGTGAGTGTCCAGTCTTCTCTTGAAAGAGTCGATTGAAATGGCTGACACCACTGCTTCAGGCAGCAGGTTCTAATGATTGATGACTCGGTGTGAAGACCTGTATGCCACGAGTATTCTGTGCATGATAAACCCTGGAGTTCTGGAATTGCACGGGTAGCTGCCCTTTGTACTTTTTCTAGTATGTCCGAGTCACCTTTCAAGCAGGGGCTTGCAGCCTGAACGCAGTTCTCTAGCTTAGTTCTCACCAAGGATGTGTATACTGTGGTGAACATGGTAGTATCTAACTTAGTGAATGTCCTTTTTAAAGCCCAGAGGGTTCGAATCCCCTTGGCTGCGACCTCCCGGCAATGGGCCGTTGTCTTAAGATCATTACTCACCGTCACCCTAGATCTTTATGAAACCGGACTGCGGGTAGTGGCACATCCCCTATGTTGTACATATTAACCTTTGAATCCCCCCAAGTGCATGTAGACACACTTCTCCGCGTTGATAGGCATCAGCCACTCCTTAGACCAGTTTAACATATTATTTAAGTCAGTCTGAAGAGCAAATGCGTCTTTGTCTCCAGTTATTACTCGCCAAATGTTTACATCGTCAGCGTATAATAACATTGGAGACTGTACTATACTTGTAAGATCATTAACGTACATTATAAAAATAAAAGGACCTAGGAGGGAACCTTAGGGTACTCCACTAAGTACTGGTCTCCAGATGGAGCACTTGGAATTTATTCTTACTTTCTGTCTATGACCTACTAGAAAATCTTTAATTTATTTTAGAAGGGGTCCGGCAATACCAAGGTTTTCCAACTTCAATAGAAGTCTATTATTTGGCACCTTGTCAAAAGCCTTACTGAAAACTATGTAGACAGCATCCACTGACTTTTCGTTGTCTAGCACATTAATCCAGAACTCCCTAGCTATAAGGAGGTTCGTTGTACAGAATAGATCCTTTCTAAAACCATGTTGTGCCATGTTCAGTAAGTTATTGGTTTCCATAAATGCCGTTATGGTCCATTTGATTATTCTTTCCAGTATTTTAATTAGAACACTGGTGAGGCTTACGGGTCTGTAATTCGATGGAACTTGTCGTGGACCTGTTTTATGTATGGGAGTGACGATTGCGTCCTTTCAGTCCATAGGTAACACACCTTGGTCAAGTGACATATTGAATATCACAGTCAGTGGGGCCGCGATATATTGGGCAATATGTCTCAAGATTTTGGGGTGTAGTTCATCTGGTCCTGTTGACTTCTCCATATTTAGGGTGCTAAGGACCTTAATCACATCGTTTTGGTCGATGTCCACGGTGGGCAGCTGGTTTGCTGAATCTGTATTTGAGTCTGGTTCTTTCTCTAGAAGAGGTTCCTGAGAGAAAACTGCCCCGAAATAGTTAGCCATGGCCTCTGCTTTTTCCTGATCTTCCTCTATCATTTCAGATTCACTTCCTACTTTAATTAGTTTAGGAATCCAGTGATGCATCCTTAATCTGTAGTTTATGTACGAGAATATTCTCTTGGGCTGCTTGAGTGCAGATTGTGCCAGCTGCATTTCATATTTTCTTTGAGCTTCCCGAATGTTTTTTATACACACCCATTCATTATTAGCTTATTTTTCACACTCGAAAAGGACTAACGGAAAGGTTAATACGACGTTACTAGAAATATCACGGACACTAAAACGTTCTAAATATATCTTCAGACTCCTTTTTCTGACTTTTAGTTTGACTGGGTATGGTATGTTCCATTACATAGGTGTTATGGACAACAGCGTTGTCAAGTCCGTGTTGCGATAAGTAAATAGCTCTGCATGTCTTCAGCATTGACGCTAACCACGTTAGTTTTTCCTGACACACATAGCTTAAGGGGCTTGGTCACACATCCTCACCAGATCACTAGTAGGTACTCTATACTAAGCATCTCTTACAACCGTTCGCCAGCTTTGATCAAACGCTTCCCGATATATCTATGGCTTTCCAAATATATTTTCAAGCCCCCTTCGTTTCTGACTTCTAATAAAGGTGTTGCGTGTGAAGGTGGTGTCAAAATCTGCATACTTGTGGTATATTTAAAATTAATAATCAATGTCGATATTGGCACTATATTTGGTTTAAATGATCACTATTATTATTATTCGCATGCGACTGCAAATCACCAATGCAGAACACTGATGTCGAATGGTTGCAAGCTTACTCGAGTCAGGCGGGAATGGTGTAACCAACAATTCACAATCAGAACCTTACTTGGATCAACCATTCGTCGTATGAAGGTACTAGGTCTGCTTTGAAGACGTTGCGAGAATATATTAGTAAGAATGGGTGCGGAGAAGATACTGAGATCACCGCCGCACGGGACATTCCACGGCATACAATTAACCGATGAGCGTTGGTCGTACGTAACATTGAGGGGGATCGATAAACTGTGACCCAACTTCCGGATGATTTGGCTAGAGCTCAGTGACATTTCACTGGTTCGACACAACTCACTGGTACATAAGCGTTCTTACGAAACCATTCTGGTTTTATTAGAAACTTAATTATACAGTTGGATTTAACTGCAGAATAAGAGTTTATGCAGAATGATTCGGTGTAAGTCCTACGTAGTTGCACAGAACAGTCGTGGAATATCAATTTTCATGGATCATATATACGCAGCGTAGAGAGAGTGAATCTGGACAAAAAATTCCGAAGGACAATGGAAGATGTGAGAACCAGGAGAGATGCTGACATAGCTTCAGATCACCACCTAGTTAATAATAATAATAATAATTTATTCTCATATAACAGTTAGTTACATGAGGCATGCCAGTTTACAGGCAAGATCAAATTGATACAAATGATACAATATCCACTGTAGTAGATTGCATAGCTGGGTTGATAATTTATAAGATATGAATGTAGATGGTTTTAATCAGTACTACAGTTGGCGCGCTTCATGAAAGTTGCGTTGTGAATGTGCTACTGATGGTCAAGGATAGGTCCATTGAAGATATGAACTTCTAGAAATTGCAACCTTATGTCCCTTCGGGATATACAAGGCTTTAAGGATGGCGCAGGATGAAGTCACCCGTTCCATATCTCAAGGGGGCTGAAAGAGGGAGCAAGTAAAAGAAAGGACGAGAGGCAGAGTAGCCAATATTCATCAAGGAATGTTTAAGGTATGATTACTTAGTCTTATTTTATTTTATTAAGGTATATGTTAAGAAAGAGCATTTTGATAGGTTTGTATTAACTCACTTTTGTCACGAGAACACGACTGATTTAATAAAAACAATTATTATTACAACCAATTGTACCAGTGATCGTTTTAATGTGCTTTTGTTTGATTGTGCTAATGACAGCTTCCATTCTTGTTCACACTTTTCGATTGTAACTTCGCGTGAATTCGGTTACCTTCTATAACCAAGCTTGTATCCTGGCACGATCTCGGTATCCTTTCGATGCCACGAGATCGCCAGCAAATAAACATCGACTTGGCCCATTAATTGTCTACTGATATTTGGCTTCTCGGGGATTTTATGGAGTCATTTGGAACGAGCTTCTTGGTAGCGGTGTTCATAGTCAATCTCGTCTCGACACTACGCTACAGGTTAAAGAAAATAAGTGTTAACAAGGTGTGAGTGGACATACAACTGACAAATGGAGGCGATTCGGAAAAGAGCTGAGAGTATAAGATTATATGTGGTTATAAAATAAAATATAGTGCTAGAAACAGTATTGTGATATACAATTGGCTGTCTTCCTTTTATTATCGAAGCTATTAGAGCGTCTTTCGTTTTTTTGTATTATTATTTTTTTCCCCAGGTATTATAGGGTCTTGAGTAGGCTTCGTATATTAGCGAATTGTCTAGTTTGCTTGTAATAGGATTTCTGGGTAGGAAGTGAAACCAATTCAACGTTCGTAACACGATTTAGAGGTATTTTGCCTGATAAATCAGCATCAATACCATAAGTTCGTGACATCCCACTAAACCATAAGGAGCCGTAATTAAACAAAATGTTCTGCCCTACAAACATGGGTGGATTGAATTTATCTCCCCACCTTCATGTTTGCTGGTCAGTAACGCCACCCTCCCTCCTTTTGTGATGTGAGACTCTCTTACGTTTGTGGTAAGTATGAATACTGCTTTAATCAAGGCCCATAATTGGAATACACTGTCTCTACTAGGTCTATGTTACAAGCAAATCAGATAGATGAAAAGTCTTTTATGGGTTAGATGTCCATATAGTATATCACAATGCTATGAAAATAACTAACGGTTTAAAGAAGTAAGGACTAATAGCAAATCAAAAGATATGAGAGGGTATAAAATTGTAGAAAAAAAGATTTCAGGATAAGCCAATTTAAAACTGAAGCTAAAAAAGAACTGGACATCTGAACAAACAGCAATACAAACGTTCAACACAGCCTTCCTTAAAGATACTGACAGACTCAATGATTTCAAGATAGCTCTCAACAACAGGTTCCAAGCCTTACAAGA